TATAGTCAACTGTTATAAACAATTGCTAATATCTAATAAACCACATCACTTGCAGCTACCAAAATTATTGCAGAATATAAAGGAAAGTCCATTCTATATTCTGTATGCTTCAATGTGCATAATTAATCACGCATTTCTATTAAAATAACGAAAATGTGTTACGATTGAATACGACGGGTGTAACACTCTTCCAAAGAATGTTTAATAACTCTTGAACCAAATCGAATATATTAATAAAAATTATATGAGAATGTAGCTAAAGGAGTTGCCTTCCAGCTGCAAGTAGTTACATGCATGGGAATTTACCAGAAACCTATGAAATTATTGAAAATCCGTAAAAGTATGCGTTATCGTTCCCGACATCACGTTCTAAATTTGTTAATAACTAATTATTGAAAGGTCCGAATGCATTAAGATCTATATGGGAAAGTTCCTAAAGGTTCATACTTCATTCTTCAATTCTAAAAGTTCATAAAATCATCCTAATTATTGAGTTATTAATGAAAATGTCGGAAATATGCTACGCTTAAATCCGACGAGTATAATACTAACCCAAAGAATGCTTAATATCTCGCAAATCACGAAGAATATTTTAATGAAAATTGAATGAGAAAGTAGCTAAGGGAATAGCCTTTCAAACGCATGTATCAAAGTGCATAAATTATTTGCATAAAGCTACGAAATTAATGAAAAACCTGAAGAGCGTGCGGTATCGCTACCGACACACTGCACAGTAATTGTTAATAATTAACTACTGAAGAAAGCTAGGGTCTTCAAACCTATACGAGAAAGTTTCTGAAGGTTCATACTTTATTCTTTGATTCTAAAAGTTCACTAAATTAGCGTTATTATTGAGTTATTAATTAAAATGACGGAAATGTTTTACGTTGGAATGCGACGAGTGTAGTACTTACCCAAATAATGTGTAATATCTTGCACATTACGACAGATATGATAATGAAAATACAACGAGAAAGTAGGTGAAGGAATAGCCTTTCGAACGCATGTATGAAAGTGCATGAATTATTTGTATAAAGCTACAAAATTAATGAAAAACCAATACGGTGTGCAATACCGCCACAGACACTCCGCACAATAATTTTTAATAACAAATTACTGAAAGGATATAGTATAATAAAATGTATATGTGAAAGTTGCTAAAGGTCCACACTTCATTCTTCAATACTAAAAGTACACAAAATCGTCCTAATTATTGAGTTATTAATGATTTTTCACAGGGCCACGTGGCTGAGGCTCTGGGGGGTGGAGCTCAGCGGTCCGTCGACCAGTAGGAAACGTTTTCTCTCTATCCTTCTTGCACACTAGTGCGTTCCTTATCTAATACTTCTGTTTATATTCTGTGTTCCTATTAAGAAGTCGTAGTTCGTGTCTCCAAACGCGAGATGGCGTTAGCCTCGCCCGCCACTTTTTTCTGTCCTTGTCAATCCCTATTGCTTTCCTTGTCTAACACGCGTCACTATTGCTATCCTTATCTACCCGTATTTCTTTCCTTGTTTAACCCGTTTTTCTATCGCTATCCTTGTTTACTAGTATTCCTTTCCTTGTCTTACCGGTTTCTCTATTGCTATCCTTGTTTACCCGTATTCCTTTCTTTGTCTAACTCGTTTCTCTAGTATTATCCTTGTCTACCGCTATTCCTAACCCTTGTTTTTCTTCGCTATTACTATCTTCATCATTCCTATTATATTTAATTGATACTTCTAATCAATTCTTGATTGCTTTAGCGTTACTAATAATGTAGATAGTAAAATACAGTTTTTGGCTTATTTTCAAGTACTTTAATTATGGAATACTTAGTATTTCCAATCGAAAAGCAATTTAGATGGTTGTCTATAATTATTGGAAGCCTTAAATAAATGTATTGCATGTTTCAACTTAATAGAACAGATTGATATGTTAATTTTGCATGTAATTAACAATTGTATTTAGTGAATTTGTAGAAATTGTTTATAACTGTTATTAATAATTAGTACTTCGTTAAATCCAATTCTGATAGATGTCATAACAGTGTAATGCACTCAAGAGTTGGCCAGTGGTTAAAAATTTTTAGTTCACATGCATTTCTGATAAATTAATATTATATTTTTATGTATATCTTTTTACGTATATACTCCATTTCTTTTTTTCAATTCTTTTCTTACGAGGTGCTGCAATAATCTTATTTAATACCTTGAACACCAGATGTCAGCACTATATATTATTTTCATTCCGTTTAATTCTCCACCTACATAACAGATGTCACCACGTCATCGATTTCTGTAGTTTTAACTTAAAAATAACTATAATAAACATACTCTCGTTACTATTTGATATAAAAAAAAAAATTTCTTTAATAGGAAATAGGTTTTCTAAAATATGAACGCATTTTAGTAAGAAATTCGATGTATTTTATTATTATATCTTGTTAATCATTACAGAAGGCCATTCAAAGTATAGAACATGTGTTTTGAAATGCTGGAATCTTAATATTATTACAAAATTTCGTCAGAATCAAAGCTCAGAGACAAATATTCCATTATTCGACAAAACAACAATTATGTCAACAATAGAATTATAAAACTACGAAGAACTTCTTTCAAAAAAATATGTTTTAATAATAACCCAACTTTTTTTCATTTATAAAAATACATAAATTATTTATTAATGAACAAGTATAAATTATAGACTAAACAGTGTGTTCTAAGTTTATAAATGATGTTATGTAAACGTATAAATTGCAGAAAATATTAAAATACAAATTATTTAGGTACTATTTATACATTATGACTTCTGATTAAATATAAATGATTTACAAACCCATACTTGTTTCAACTTTTTTTGTCATTTCAATAAGTATCTTATGTCTTCAAAATTTTGCACAATCCTTTTCGAACACACTGCATCTATTCGAAATTTAATCTTTTAGTAATTCAATTTTTTTTAAATAATTTATTATCTATCTACTAATATTATCTAAATTAATTGATAAATCTTATCTAAAATGGATACGAAAATTCACATCAATTTTTCTTCGACTATTTAAACGAGAAAATATGTGTTTCAAAGGTCAGGAAAGGGTTAAAAATGGTGCTTAACCTTCGGACAGCTTTAAGATCTCTTGTTTCAACCGATATTCCGAACAAAATCACAAAATCCCTCTCCTTATCGATATATTTACAGATTTAAACGATACAATGCCTGGTAAAATTAAAAAATATGCTAAAAAGATTCTAGTATTGCGTCATATTGGACCCAACATCCGCTGTCCAAGAGTTACTATTACTACCGACGGTAAAGAAGAATTTGTAAGGGAGATAAAAACAATCATCTGTAATTGGTCAATGTTGTGTTGGATGATTTTACAAATAAAACGTTTCATTTTCTGAAAGTAAATCCTTTCCGGCGGCTTTTAATGTCGACCAACTGTTGTGCCTGTTTCTTGAGAGTGTTTCTAGTTGGTACATCCTCCTCGTCTTCAGAAGGCACAGCCGCCGGTGTTGTCGAGGATGGAAATCGTGGAAAGAGCGGTCCTCCATTTGCACGTGCTGTTTTCCCCTCTGCTGAAGTCGTTGCAATTGATACCGTTTCGAACTGGATGATAAAAGAAATCATTATTTATATATACAGTGAATATTATTTTAAGTGCACAATCACTGCTTGAGGGTATTAAAAAATAGTATTTCTTAGGATGAAATGTTAGGTTAGATTATTGTGAATGATAAGACAATTTATTGGATTGGTTGGTAATATACATATATTAAAATGAAAATTCGTCAAATATTAAGTAACATTTAATTCGACTTAGGACTTATCGACCGGTAATGTGACATAACCTGAAAATTTTCATTTTAGAATCATTTGACGATCTTTCTATTGTGAATTACTGAACTTTCTTTCATGTGAAGTATGGTATAGTATAATTAAGGGAGAATCTATGAAAATATACCTAATTTTGATGAAATTTATCAATTGGCGCAAAATTGATTAATAATACAGGGTGAATTCGTAAGGCAAGTGATTATTATTAATAATAGAAATGAATAGCCGGAATATTTATCTATCGTACTTAAATTCAACTAGCTTGCGGATTTTTATGCAAAATTCATATCTTTACGACTATAATTTAAAAAATAGAAGCTAGATAGACAATTGTTTTATCCTATATATTTTTGCTTATCGTATGCATTCTGTGTACTTTTGTGCCTTCAAATTTTCCATAAATGCATCAAAATCCACAGTCCAGTAATAACAAACTTCCAAGTTTACCTTATCAACTAATATTTCATCCAACACTTCCATATACTTCTCCGGTCCTCCCAAAGCATCTATAATACTTTTCGTTTTTTCGTTCATCAGATCGACGAGTTGCAAAGGATCTTCAATTGCACTCGGTTCTTCGGGCAATTTCTCGATCACATCCTAAACAAAATTTACATTAATCACGCAGAAATTTTCTCTCAAACGATCCTCTTCCCTCTCTCTCTCTCTCTTCACCTCGTTAAAAAAAAGAAGAAGATGAAAACTCTCGTCCTATTTTACAGATAGAGCTCTTACTTCGTTCCACGCAAAAGGATCAACCAAACCACTGTGTGCACTTCTTTTCACACAGTTTAACGTTTAATTTCCACGAAAGGGAAGGATTTCTCTCCGACATTCGAAATTCACGTTTTCTTCCGTACGAGAACGTACCTTTTTCCCGTTTCGAATATTTGTACACGCCCAGAAGAGAAGTGAAAGAGGACACAGATAGTATTGGTAAGTCGAGTTAACGAGTAAGGGCACGGATTCTAGGGATCGATTGAATCAATAATTGATTTTCACGTGGCTCGCCGTGCTACCGAAGTGTTTATTTTCGATCACCTCAGGTGAGGTGTTAATGCGTAGGACAGCGGCTTCTTCAGGTGAGAATTACAGGCAGAGATTGTTCAAGCAAGTTCATTGGTGAACGACGACCAAGAAGGATGGCTGTCGGGGGTGTTAAACCTCCAGAGACAATATAATAGGTACGAAAACCTCGAAGCGATTCCATTGCGGTGAACGCCATTGATGGCGGCTTCACTAATTTAATTAGGAATTTACACGGTATTTCCATCGACCATTTTAACACGATATCACCTCTTTCGATGCTTTGAATTTCATTTTGTAATCACTTCCCTTGGGAAGTGTTAATTCGTCGCGATATCCTTTTTGGTTTATCGAACAGGCGTGTGTTAACTAAAAAGCTTCCATAAAGGTAATTACCGACGATTGGTAGTCGTATAGATAAGAGCAACGTTTCTTCTTTTTTTTTCGTTCTCTTCGACTATGTATCGGCACATTTGCAGTTACACATTTTAATTTTAGTATTAAGTTATCCTGAAAATTCTCACGGTTTCAAGCTGTTCGTTTTGAGAAAGCGTAACTTCGGTAAAATGAAATATTTTTGTTTGAAATAATTTCTGTAACGTTGGACACATTTTAAAAATCCAAATATTTAAAGCTTAGAATAAAAAAAAATTCTGGATAATCAAGTTGGACCAG